AAGAATACGAAACCGGTCTACATTAATAAATCATATACTATTTTCATTTCGTATTGGTTGACACTACACATTTGATCTTTGGTTGATAAGACAAACTAGCTGTATAAAAGATATACCTTCTAGTATAATTTATTATTGCGTTGAGCCGTCACCTACAATTGCTCAAATAATATGGCTAGCAATCAACCTGAATTACATTTACAATTAGTGGGGTCTGACGACCATCCGCTAAACTCGTTGAATCCATTAAGTCAAGAAATCCAAATTTCAGATATACTTGTTCCAGGTACACCTTCGACGCCTTCAACAACGTCGAACGATGATATTGCTGACACAATTATTGAAGACACACCACCAGAGTTACCGGAAGCGAAAAGTCAAGAAATGCAAATGTCAGATATACTTGTTCCAGGTACACCTTCGACACCGTCGAACGATGATATTGTTGACACAATTATTGAGCACACACCACCAGGGTTACCGGAAGCGAAAAGTCAAGAAATGCAAATGTCAGATATACTTGTTCCAGGTACACCTTCGACACCGTCGAACGATGATATTGTTGACACAATTATTGAGCACACACCACCAGGGTTACCGGAAGCGAAAAGATTGAAGAAAACAAATGATGATGCAGACGCATCAAACTACAATATAGATGATGATTCATCATTTTCGTCTGATGAAGAAACACTAATTGGGGCACCATCACCACTTACTACTTATGATCAACAACATCAAAGAGAAAGAACAATTGATATTGTCGAGATGTCATATGAGATTATTGATGAACCATTAACACCTCCCCCAACATGGATGACCAAACAGACAATATCAAGCAATGTGAAAGGGGTAGCACTTCCACATAAAGATTCAAAAGGATCGACATCCTCTAAAACGAACTTATTACAAGTTCCCAACATGACTACTGGGAGTACTATATTGAGAAGCGAAATAAGAGTACCATCACCAGATCCTGATGATTCTACACAAACGAACACTGGATACGGTACAGCACACACAGGTTACCAAGTAGTAGTTCCATACAGACAATATCTTCAATCAAACACACATGTACCACCGATGGCGGGTGCATATAACACTGACAGTGTATTGTTTAATGCGTATAACAATGATTATGTACCACCGATAAATCGACAAGGGAACCGGCCATACATATACATTCAATCGCCATCTCAGGAAACATATGCGCCGTTCGGACAGATGGGGGAAGATCAAGACCAAGATCACACTCCATCAAGCTCAAATTACCGTCAAACCTCATTTCGTGGACGTCGACAGGTTTACTATAATTCAAATCGTATGAGGTCACCATCACCACAGAGAGGTAACCAACGGTTCAGAGGCAGAGGTCGACAGTCACGAGGTACTCATGTACGAACGAATCCAGACCGTCTACGAGATATCGACGATACTCGCACACTCGCAAACCAAAATTGGAGAGGGCGGCAGACACGAGGTACGAATCTCAATCCCAGACAATCGAATCAACAGCAACACGTAAGCAATCAAAATTACGGATGCGAGCACAGTGACGACGAGCTACAAGAACCACAACAATTGCGTAAAAAAA